TTTTTTTTAACAGTATTGCAGAATTAGTGCCTTTTTATAAATTTACGTCGTTACCTCACTTTCGCAGAAAGTAGTCAAATCCAAGATGGCGAATCCAGACTTAACAACGTCATGTGATGTCACAGTAACGGTAAACGTCTCCGGGGTATCTTTTTAAACAGCGTAAGGCCGTGAGTGGAGGAAGAAAAAGAAAAAACCCACCCCTCCCCCGGAAAAACACCGAAGTGCATCATCATGCTTAGAATTTCCATGCAGCATACGATTGTCTGTAGCCACCACTTATGGGTTAAAAACAGAGTAATACCTAGGTGTGATAGGTCAGTTCGACTCAAATTATGCCGAAGACAGGGCGTACGCGTGTGATTAGACACTTTCTTGGTCCATTAGGACCTCATTGCGGTCAGACGTCATCACTTTCAGCTTAAGTGCTTGTTGTATTTATAGTCGATAACCACTTGGTTACTGCATAGTTAATAGAAGGAAATTGTTAGGAAGACCGGTAAACATCAAATAAGCAAACAAATAGGCTATGATTTATGCTGGAAGGTCCTTGAACCTGCACATCTTTTGTTTTATACTTATTGACTATGCATGAATTATGTAATCGTAATACCTCTATTGGTTAGTTGTATCAGCACACCTAAAACACCTTTTGTATTTTGTCAGGTTTTGTACAGGGTCAATCCCAAAATAGCCAACAAAAACATACAGAAAGAACTTTGGCAGGTTTCCTAACCATTTTCCGCTATTAACGATGTCAGTGCATTTACTCAACACATCCTGAATAGCAATGGAATAACACGACCCATATATAGTTGATTTCTACCAAACACTGATATGCGCCAATTGCCAGACGGGCCAAGGTAGAATCAGTACATGCAGAGGAACACATATTTATGTCACCGGTTCAATGGCTTGTAGACAGACCGCTCAGTGCTAATGACAAACAATAGATTTAATTTCGAATGGAAAAAAAGTTCACAACTTATGATCTCGAGCTATATAGACTGCACTCCGTGTGCAGCACACAGCAGTGATTTCTAAAAAAGATTACAGCGCTTTCTGAATGCTTTTAAACCGAACGGAGTTTCATAGAATCTTCTAAAGTATTGCACATTAAGTATTCACTTGAGAGGCCCCCAGTTTATATAAGGTGATTATTCAAAGCTATGTTCCGGAGTATTCTAGGAACAAAAACTTTGATTTTCCTATGAAGTTCCACTAAAATACTGTGTTTATCGAGAAACCTAATTTTAGACATTAGTGTTTTTAGTATGGAATATGAATCCCGTTTTTATTTCTTTGGTTACACGCAATTTTTTTCTCAGTTATACCATGCAATCATGCAGAAAATGATTTCACGTTTCAAAACTGACCTTCTAATTGGCTTTACGTGTCTTTGTTCCTAGTCTGCTTACAGAGGTGATGCTTTGTCTAGCATCTTTGTTCGTGTTAAATAATTAAAGCTTATAGTCCGATAAAACCAATAATGCAAGGCTTTGCCATTCCGTTTTATTGAAGTTCCAGCTCTTAATTATGAGCTACAAAAGACTAATAATTGCTTTGGCAAGGAGGACAAAAGAAAGCGCTTCAACATGAAAAGTTCCGCCCGCCTTAAGAAATAATGCTTGACAAAAGCAGCCTAAGTGTAATTACTATTCGTCGTTGAGTAATAACTCTTTTCACTCATGATTGCCTAGTTCATATTGTTTTGTCTTCGTCAGGTCGCGTTATATGAGAGTGCTGTTTGCTTCGGCTTCTTTACATTTTAGCGCAAAGGAATTTACGTTTTAGAGGAGCTTAGACAGGACTTAACGTCAATATAAGCCTTAAAGTCTTGTCTTTCGTACAAGAGATTGGAGCACCCTTCCAACGCTTTTGAGTCTGCATATTTTACATTTCAAATGTTCGGGCAAACGTATAACTGTTGAAACACTAACAAACTCACTACGAGCTCACGACCAAAGAACAAGAATACGATCAAACATCGTTATATTTCACGATCTTACATGTCATTGGTTTATCAAACCCTAGTTGTGGTGACATTTGATTTGTTTTGGAGATGTCGAGGCACGGACAACTGACAGAAGAAAATCCACAACTTCTTACATTAGTACATGGAGTGGATCGCAAAGGAAGACCAGTGATAAGGGCATACACGGGCAACTCTCGGCATCCAGTATACCATGAATATCAAGACGTTATTGACAAACAATACCAAAAGGCTATGAGGCTTGCCTCCTCTTCCAGAACAATTTATTCGTTATACAGACTGAACGAGAACGACAGTTGTTTTGATTTTTGCTCGCAGAGTGCTAGAATTTCGACAGCAACAACGCACGCTTCGACACGATGGAGCCCTTCTCTTGCTGGCTCCACCGGTGCTAGTACACCGATTATTCCCGATTTGCGAGGGATGCGTGCTGTGATCTCCAGATTACGCTGTTCGCTGGCCATACACGCAGGTCTTACAGGGAAAAGTAACGAATTGACGTTTCTTCCTGTTATTCCAGTTCGGTCTAGGAAGCAGCCAAACTGTCCGAAGGAGAAATGTAGGAAAGTACAGCCACCACCAAGAAAACCGGACTTAAAGGAAGAGTCAGGGAAGGACTGTTGCAGCAGTGTGCCGCGGTCTATCGCGGCCTCGCTATCCTTACAACACAGACTGTTGCCAGGGTTCCAAAGGTCGGACTTGCTCCAAAGCAAAAAAGACAAATAGGCAGTAAAAAGGAATGAAAAGTTGAGATAAAAACTATTAATTACCGTGCTGCTACCGTACATCAGAAAAAGGAGCATGTCCGCATCACACTCGATACCACTAAGCTAGTGCATGGATATTACAAGCTTCAAACTGATGTGTAACAAATTTCTCAGGTGCTTCCAGCTGGACTGCTACCCGGACTGAAACTTGTGTGAACGGCTCAGAGCTAAATGTCGTGATATAATGTTTTGACAGAACATGAATTGCATCAATACACAGTGTTATGGAAATTTTCTGCGTATATGGTCAGGTACGACTTCATAGACTGCGAACATAATGTCGAGCTAACCCTGAGGCCTTTGATGTATAACAGAACAGCATTAGTGTTTATCCCTAAGATGTTCAACATAGTTATGATGTCAGAAATTGGCGAACTTATCACTAAAGATAAACTGTTAGAACAGGGTTCGCAAGAGTACCCAAGTTCAAAGTTTCACGAAAAACCTAGAAATTAAAAAGATTGACAAACTTGCTGTATGAAAGCACTTCAAAATAAGTTCTATTTGTATTAATAGTTAGAGCCACATTTATTAAATCGGACTAGTAGTTTTTTGCCCCGAGTAAAAAAAAAGCTCTCGCATATTTCCAAATAGTTACCATGACAACTGTATTGAAGTAAGATGGACTGACAGTGGAAGAAGCCTCAGCAAAATACATCAAATGGCAAACCATATTGCATCTTTGTCTAAGTCATCCCGTGCCAGCTAACATTAAAAAATCGTCGCACAGGTTACCAGGTTTCGTTCTGCAGCAATAATCAACTGGCTCAGTTAGCTTTTCACTAAGATTGATTCTAGTCACGTACATTGAGCACATATCTCCTTTTGTTTATTTTTATTATATTGATAATAGCTCCACTGTTTGCTGGGGTTTATTTAAATCGGTGCTGGGGTTACACTGGTGGTCAAGCTAGTAATCCTCACAGACCTAGCTATTAAACAATTACAGGATGAGGTTTTTGTGATATCCAGAATAATCAAGAATAATCAGCCTTCGGCTTCGACTGATAACCCTTACCGAGACGAAAAAAGAAAAAAGGTCATGTTTTTGCTTCTTCACTGACGGCAAGCAACACAAAGCGCGCGAGCTTGACATGATTACCCTTAGAAATCATGCACCGCGGTCAAGCATGACATGATTACCTGTGACCTTGAGTGTCCTTGACATGATTATTGTATAATCTACAGCTATATGACGTCACAGGCGCTGATCTCGAAAATTCACTGTACGCTTTCGGCCAATGAGAAAAGAGATAGTGAGTTCAGTGTAAAATAATGTTACTTATTGCCATGCATACTTTACTGTTATTGGCAGTTCTGAAGGCTTTCTGGTACATCAATCACATCTCTGTCCCTGGTTTATGAATTTCCTCATATTAATGTTAGCTTTTTGGTGTTACCCTCTTTAAATATTGTTATTATTACTGTCCATGGAAATGCTGTTTCCTATATATATTGAAAGAAGAAAGTTCGTGACGATGTTGATCAGTTTCTTTTTTTTAAAATAAAACTAAAGCAAAGCTAGTGCTATAAGACAAGACAGGTATGTAATATATGCTAATTATAGCCACTTGTATTTCTGTAATGTATTTTCAAAAATGTATTTTTGTTTTCCGCATTTATCTTAACATGGTGGCAACCAGCTCGAAAGCCAAGGCCACTCTGGTTATTCTCTCCATTACCAAATGCAACGTTTATTTCTCTTCCCATATCTATAATATTTATATAATGTAAATGTTAAAATTCTCTAAATAGTGCACAATAAACGTTGATTGATTGACTGATTTATAAACAATTTGCTGATTCTAAAATAATAAAGCTTCTACTTTACTCTCCTACACCACATAGCAAATCACGTTTATGCGATAGTTTCTTATGATCCTTATGTCAAGTTGACATAAAGTCATGTTCGCTCTAGAATATATTTCGGTCTCAAAACACCAAGCAACTTTCGGCCACACACAGCGTATGCCTGGCGGAAATTACGCATTCTTGAGCCATAGATAACGAAGTTCATAGCGGAGTTTGACAGAGCTAGGGTCCCGATCCACAAGTGTGCAACTCCCAGTGTTTCTACCAAAGGTTTTCCAGCAGCAAAAAGAGTGGAAACCAACGGGGCCCAAGAGGCAGTGAAAACGACAATCACAATCGCTAGCGTGAAGGCGACGCGGATTTCGACGCTTGGCTGACTGGTATCATTAGAAGAGTGCGCTCTGAGTTGTTTCTTTTCTTTTCGATGTTTGACCAATGATATCACTATTAGCGAGTAAAATAAAAACACAGTAACATAGCTGGTGCCAAAAACCCCTAAGCCAAGGAAAGCTTTTGCCTGATGGAAATTTGCAGGAATAACAACGTTTGAAATTGCAACTGTAATCGGCAATGCCCAAGATGTTATCAGTAGTATTTTTAATCCATGATTATCTATAATGCTTTTGTAGCGTAGAGGGTACACAACAGCGATGAAACGATCAACACTGATGGCTGCCATGTGTACAACGGAGGCTGTGCAAGACAGCCTGGTTAGTATTCTGTAGGCTTGGTTCAAATTTGCAGCGCACTCATTAAAGAATGTTCTCTTGCCAAGATATGCCACAAAGACCGGCTCACACAGCATGGTGACGATCAAATCAGCGATCGCCAAGCTGAACAGAAGGTAATTTGATGATCGGCGAAGACTGGGATTTATAACAACTGCCACGCAAACCAGTAAGTTGCCAAGTGTCCCAAACACACCCACGATAGAATTTACTGTGATCAGAGAAACGCCATGAGCCACTGGAAGTGAACAACCTCCTGTTGAGAGGTTAGATGTTTGATTACTCGTGTTCTCCATCTCACAACACAGAGGAGCAATGATTACGACACGGGAAAAACACAATTCCGTTTCGCTCAGTCCGAGGCAACCCACAAATTTGGGTAAATAGCTTCAGTAAGTCATGCCAAGGATGGTTTGTTATTTCGTTTCCTGAGGTGTTGTTTCAAACTTTTCTTAATCTGCATACATGTACTTACGGATGTCATCGTAATATAGGAAGATAAATATAGCAAGGGTAATGACGTTAAACCCTTGTTCGAATATGTCAGTGAAATGATATTGATACAGTTTTAATGGTTCATTTAACTACCAGTGAACTCTTGTTAAGTATTTCAGCTTTCCAGTCATACTTTATAAAATGGTAGGCACCCACAAACTAAAAGAGCCTAAGTGGATTTTAATAAGTTAACCAAATTCGGTTTTTGATCATAGTTCGCGTGATTTGAAAATGGAAATGCCATTTCATCTTAATAAATCTTGCGGTTAATAGTGTATTAAGTGGCCATCTCGCTTAGTATCCAATAACATAGCAACTCTCACACAAAACGCATTTGATTTGAACCTCTCTGAAACCTTGAAGTATTGCAGCTTTACATTCTACTGTATAACATGTTAGGTTCTAGCAAACTGAAATAACGTAAAAGGATTCTAAGCCCTTGTAACCAGGTTCACAGCAACTTGACACTGCAGTGAGGGTAGGGGGTGGGGAACTACATTGTGATAAGAACCTTTTCCGGCTTTCTTCTGTCAAATCAGACAGGATTTACGTCATGAGTTTCCTTTACGTCACACATACACGCCTACGTGGCTTGTATTAGAATCATAAGAATTCCTTTTTTGTATATAGGTTACAGGTTTAAGTTCAATGATGCAGTTCATATGTATTAATGTCTTTGACATACTTTTAATTAACTCACATTTAGCTCTAAAAATAGCTCACGGGTTGCAACAAAAATAGTTCACGTGTTGACTATACTTTTGGATAAGATGAATAATGTACTAATAGTGTCACGCAATGGTTTTGTTTTTCATGCTTTTTCTTGAAGTCGTTGTGTTTGTCGAAATTTATTGTGACCATTGCAAGACTTGATTGATACTATCACTGGTTATTTTCTTAGTGTTTTGATGCAATGCAATATTTACTTTTTAGCGATTTGCTATTCTATTTTATTCTTTTCAGTTCCCAGTCACCCTTCCCATGTAAATTCCTGCATCAATAAATTATATTACAGTGGCTACAAGTCTGTTTCGTGGTTCAAATAACAACACTAGAACATGCCTCGTAAAACCCAAATCTCGATTTTTGGCCTTAGCTCGCGTGATGTAGAATTATTAATACCATTTTGTCTTTGTAAATCTTGTAGTTCGACAGAGTACCACTGAATATCCAATAACCCTTCAGTTCTCACACAAAGCTCATTTGATTTGAAGGATATTAGCCTCCCCTGTAAAACCATTTAGGTCATTTTTATTGGTTGGTTTAAAATAATTCCAGTTATTTATTTATTTATTATTTATTTATTAGAAAACTGGGATAAAGGGTAATAAAGTGTATTATCGTTTGTCTCACGATGTAGTCACTTGAGATGTAGATCGCGACGTTTCGACTGCTTACTGCTAGTCTTCTTCAGGCGATAAGNAAAATAGCTCACGTGTTGCAACAAAAATAGCTCACGTGTTGACTTTACTTTTGGATAAGATGAATAATGTACTAATATTGTCACGCAACGGTTTTGTTTTTCATGCTATTTCTTGAAGTCGTTTTGTTTGTTGAAATTTACTGTGACCATAGCAAGACTTGATTGATACTATCACTAGTTATTTTCATGGTGTTTTCATGCAACGCAATATTTATTTTTTAGCGATTTGCTATTCTATTTTATTCTTTTCAGTTCCCAATCACCCTTCCCATGTAAATTCCGGCATCAATAAATTTTATTACAGTGGCTACAAGTCTGTTTCGTGGTTCAAATAACAACCCTAGAACATGCCTCGTGAAATCCAAATCTCGATTTTTGGCCATAGCTCGCGTGATGTAAAATTATTAATACCATTTTGTCTCAGTAACTCTTGTAGTTCGACAGAGTACCACTGAGTATCCAATAACCCTTCAGTTCTCACACAAAGCTCATTTGATTTGAAGGATATTGGCCTCACCTGTAAAACCATTTAGGTCATTTTTCTTGGCTGGTTTAAAATAATTCCAGTTATTTATTTATTTATTTATTATTTATTTATTAGAAAACTGGGATAAAGGTTTCCGTCTAACTCATTGTCGAATAACTTACTAAAACGTTACCAGCGTTGCATTGCATTGGGATAAAGACTGTTTGGTTTGGCTCTGTTATTTTCGTTTCCGCTGTCTTAAGGTCATTTACCAGTATTGCATTGCGCATCCTTACTGCGCATAATTTATGGCGTCATTAGCGCGCGTTTGCGCACGCGCACATTGAAAACATGGCGGATTTGCCTTGATATTGAGTTCTGTCGGTTGAAAAATGGCTATAGCTCAGGGCAGCCCAAATTTTTTTCCAGTCATTTTAATCAACTAATCATTAGCCTTGCGTGAGAAAAGACTGATCTGATTTCTGTTGTTGAAAATTGAATAAATAAGGAAAATAGCAGCTGCAYTGTAGTCTTTTCTATTTTGCAGTTTGATAGCCGTGGCAAGCAATTTGGTTCCAATATTTTAACAAAGATTCAGCTGTCTGTCAAAATCAAACTTAAAAAGTTTATTTGTTTCCGACACAAGTATTGACTGTGGTTTGAGGCGTGTTTTTATGAGTCTGGGCTCACAAAGAGTTTACAATAACTTGGAATGCGTTCTTGTAATAAGAACTAATAAGCATTAAATAACGCTAAAATGGGGCATTTTCAACGCCTCACTGTTCCTTAACAAGCATGGGCACCCCCCTTTTTTATTTCATAAAGTTTTCATATGATAAATATTCATTGGACAAAGTTTGATCAAAAATCTATGTGCAGTTTTATTTCAGGGGAATTACCTTAATTGTTAATGGTTACCATAAGGTCAATGAGTTGGTTTGCTTGCCACACGCTACAAGATGTATATGCAAACAAGAATATTATAAAAATACTAGCACCACCACCACCACCAACAACAACTTTTTCACTCCTTAAACTGTGTAATCTAAGCGATAGTGTCTGTTTCTTGTTTACTACGTTTTTCCTCAATGAGGAGTCTACGAAGAGTTCCACAATTAGGGGAGAGGTCCCTATGCATATGTTTTTAACTTTCTATTTGTTTGGCAATAGACCATTTTACAGTTGTCTGCTCAGTGACCTGGCCTTTGGATGGCAGCGAGGCTGGAGTTGACCTTGTTTTGATACAGACTTCACTGCTTTTGTTGTGTAAAATAAGTTGTTCTGATACTAACTAGGTGCATTTACATGACAAAAGCAGGTCTGTATCAATACAAGGTCAACTCCAGCCTCGTTGCCATCCAAAGGCCAGGTCACTGAGCAGACAACTGTAAAATGGTCTATTTCATGCATACCGTGCAAACTCTTTCACTCAGGTCATTAGCCATTGTTATCTTCTTTTAACGTTATAAACACGAGTCCGCAAACATTTTTGGATCATAGAAACAAAAGTATTTTGGCCAATCACGGCGAAGGTCTCACGGGTGATTTGCCTTCAAGATTTTAATTGAACCTCTTGCCGGGCACCAGTAAACGTTCCCCCTTTTTAAATCATTTTAAATATATTTTTAACATTTAATAAAGTCGATTCTGAATTAGTTAATAGGTTCTGTTTTTTCACAACATAACTTGGCCATTCAAGTCTAATGTCAAGTTACAAATTCGTGTCCTCGCAAGAATATTTCGGTCTAAAAACTTCAAGCAACTTTCGGCCGCACACAGCGTACGCCTCATGGAAATTACGCATTCTTGAGCCATAGATAACAAAGTTCATAGCGGAGTTTGACAGAGCTAGGGTCCCGATCCACATATGTGCAACTCCCTGGATTTTCACCAGTGGCTTTCCAGTGGCAAAAAGAGCGGTAACCAACGGGGCCCAACAAACAGTAAAAACGGCAATCACAATTGCTAGCGTGAAGGCGACGCGGATCTCAACGCTTGGCTGACTGGTATCATTAGAAGAGTGCATTCTAAGTTGTTTCCTTCCTATTCGACGTTTAACCAATGATATCACTATCAGCGAGTAAAACAAAAACACAATAACATAGCTGGTGCCAAAAATTCCTAAGCCAATGAAAGCTTTTGCCTGTGGGAAATTGGTAGGAATAACGGAGATTAAAATTGGAACTGTAATAGGCAATGCCCAAGATGTTGTCAGAAGTATTTTTAATCCATAGCTATCTATAATGCTTTTGTAGCGTAGAGGGTACACAACAGCGATGAAACGATCAACACTGATGGCTGCCAT